CGAAGCATTCCACAGTTAGCACTATCTTCTTTCCAGTGGAATCTATCATTTTTGTCTGAATGTTCACATGTTAAGAAAGGCCAGAGCTAGGCTCCAAGGAAAACGTTATCCAACAAATTCATCCCTCACTTGACAACATGTGCTTCTGAAAGGCTGTATGTAAAGTGTGTCCAATTTAGAATAGAGCCTACTCTTGATTAGAATGATAGGCTGAATCCTTTCATTAAGTAACTAAGCTTTCTTTCTCCCATAATTTATTTCTTTATGCTCAATGTTGTTTTATAAGGAGAATAATGTGTTTGTAAATGTGAGTTCTGGATGACAGAGAGGACATACCTACATTCAACTTCTGGGTTGGTTAAAATTTAGACATGACCTTACAAGGTGTGAGATCAAGGAGGTCTGTTGAGGATAGTGGGTGACTGATAAAATTTTGATGATGTGAATAATTGTGGGGAAGTTCCAACTGAATTGGTAAACAGAATGAATTAGAATATTTTAACAAGAGTAATGGTTGTTTCTTCTCACATATACAGAAACTAGAGCCATCACACCTGCCTAGTAGATTTTTTTGGAGGAATTACTACCACACACATTTAAGATGTGGTATTCAATTTGCTAATCAATTGCTCATCTGAGAATGCAGTCTTCTAAAAGTGCTTATCAGTTCTAGAAAATAATCTTAAACAGTATAAATAGTCTACTTTAAATATTACTTATGAACACTGCAAATTTACAAAACTTCTTTTTTTCTAGTAGTCTAATGAATGGGTGAGTGCAGTTTATATTACCACATATTCCAAATTAGAATAGTTATGAATAAGTGGAATTTAGACTAAGGAGATTTTACAATGGTAGAATTTCCATTTTCTTTAATGGAAACTAGGTTAATATGTGGCTTTTCAAAGTCAATTCCTAGTAGGGAATTAAACCTCTTCAACTAGCCATGTAACATAATTTGTTTCATCTGTTTCAAATAAGAATGCCTCTCCAGTGCATAGAATTCATTCAGCAAACATTCAGTGAATCCTAGGGTATGCCAAGCACAATGCTACATTTTGCAAGGGAAGTGAGTAGAGTAAGACTAGATTTCTTCCCTCAAGGGGAAAGTCCCCAGAGCAATCATTAGAATAAAATTATGCAGTTACAAATAGAGAAATTCACATATTGAAGACTGTACAAAGCTGTGGAAGCATGAAGGAAGGAGTGGGTGAATAAACAGAAAAATGTCTGCTTTGTTAGAATGCAAAAGGAGAGGACCGTTTTGTTTAAGAAATAGTGACAGGATTAAAGCCCAGAGCCTGGGCCATAATAAAGGAAGTGGCAGGGATGGTTAGGGAAAATGCAAAGAGAAGAAAATGAACTCCCCAAGGGAAAGGCTCCCCAAAAGGTGGGATTTAAAGGAGTGGGGGTGGCGTGCTCTGATAATCTAGTTTGTCACCCCGTCTGTTTGGAGTCCCAAAGTAAACTCTTTCATGTGATGATTAGATAATTTGCACATGATGATCAGTCAAGTTTTTAAGTTGCGTAGCCTGAAGTTTCAGGGGGCTTTTGTGCTAGAGTGTGGTTTTTCATTTAGTTTTTGCAAAATCGGGATCCCTTTTCTAAATTTGCTAGGGAGCAAACGGCTAAATTAAGGTAGGGTCTCCTGGAGAACTGAGTGGGTTGTTTGTTATAGCAACCTGGAAGCTAGTCCTGCTGATGAAGTTTGCATGGCAGCCAGACCCGCCCTGCAGCAGCCACTGCTCAGAGAAGGCAGTGGTGGGAGGTGATCTGCAGGCGGCAGAATGCTCAGAACACTGAGAGTATTGCAGACAGATTCCCAGGGAAGAAACGTTTGCTCTTTTTCTTCTGAATGGCCATTTTAATACTCGAGTTCTGTTAAAAAGTGTGCTGATGACAGAATTATACTCCACGTTTAGCGCCTTAGCATTGCATGGTCCCTTGCAAAGGCATGTTTCTAATTCCTGCTCTTCATTAGCATGAATTTATGATACATTGATCCACACAGTATGTGGAAATCTATCATTAGCAGATGGCTTCTTACTCTAAGACTATTCCTGTGTACTCAGCACCGTGTGAAGCGCTGAACAGAAATCACCTGATTTTTCACAACATCCTGTGAAATAGGCATTGTTGTTCCATTTTACAGATCAGCAAACTGAGACTTAAAAGACAGAGTAGGAGTTTTGCCAAGTGACCCAGGTAGTGAGGTGTCTAATTGAGCCTTAAATCTAAGTCTTTCTGATTCCAAAGAGCATGCTTTTAACATTCTTTATTGCCTCCAAAAAAAATGCTATGATAAAAAGGAAAAAATGAAAGAAAAATGAAAGGATTCGCACCTGTCTTTTTAAAATAGTAAACTCCAATCATGCATTGAAAATATTCTCATCTCTACACATTTTATGCACACAGATTTTCTCAGTGAAATTTCTCAGAAAGTTAACAAACTCCTAGACTAGTAAATGATAGCCTGATACGTGTTTTCCCTTTTTCCTTTTTTGTTATCCATTACAAGCCCGTGAGGTTAGACTGCTCCGGAGGGCATGCACCCGGATGTTACGTGCCCTGCTCCCTTGTAAGGATCATGTCAGAGGGAAGTGAGTGGTATTAGACACAGAAACTCTCTTCTCTTCTCTGCCAGCATCATTTAGTCCCAGATCTCTTGAGGCTATTACAAGTTTCCAGAAGTGAATCTTCTGCATGCACTTCCATAAGGTTTCCTCTGGTGTTTTTCTTTGCTTTCTTGTTCTGTGCCCTCCCCTCAGTATGCCCTGGCTGTCTCCCCTGGCACTCTGGGGCCTCCTTGCTTGAGGACTTTTTGTTATGTAGCCATAGTGGCAGCTGCAGAAACAGCCACTTCTCTGTGAGTTTCACTCCATAAATAACACTAATTATTGGAAAGTTGTTTTCTTGTCAATATCAAGTCGTGGCGGTGTCCATGAAGATGTTAGAAATGTGCTCTGAGATGGTCATTCTTCCACACTAAAAACTACCAAATTCCTGTCATAATGAAAAGTGTCTTCTCACTTATAACATGCAATCCCCTGCTGGTGCTGAAGAGAACATATAAATGCTGACAACCGTGTAACAACTGTCTGCTTTTACGTTCAATACCATTCAATGTGTCACACATTCCCTGACGAAGTGGAAACAGCAGGTATGGGTCCTGACGCATGACGTGCAGTGCTGGTATGTGAGACAGGGGATTGCAGTTTCAAGAGTGGGGCACTTTCCCAGAGACAGAAGAGTGAGTTGAAAATAAGAAAGTAGTGTCAGTATAATTTCTTCCACCAATGTTGAACCATCCTCAGAACACTCTTTCTTCATTCAATCAACAATTCGTTTCTGGCATTCTATAATTTACCTGCTTGCCACCCTGTTAAAAGGAATTACTTTTGAATGATAATGTCTCTAAAAGTGTAAGGACAATACAAATTCCTTAAACAGTCATCCTACCTCATAGGTGTGTTTGAAATATAAAGCCAATGACTTACAAGGAAGCTTAGGTTTTTATCTAGCCAAACTTCTTCGTTTTATAGAAAATAACATAAATTCAGAAAAGTAAAATAATTTACTCAGAGCCCATAATTATATAGTTAGAATAACATTATTAATTGTCCATCCTGTTACAAGCTGGCTGAAATGTATAGATTAAATGTTGCAAATGGAGAAGGCTACGTGTATTTCCAGTAGAGCTTTTCCTAATATCTACTTTATTGCCCACATATGTTCCCCTTCAAACATTCGTTTGACTATGAATAAAGGATATACTTTTTAAAAATTCAGGAGAAAGATCGTACTTGTTCTTGTCGGCCGTGGAATAAGCTGTAAGGCTCCCGTTGCTGTCCCCTCTCTTGGGCTCGCCCACACCATCCTCTCCTGATGGCTAGCCCATCGGTTCACGTCGGTGCCCATGGGCAGGGACCAGGGGCGGGATGCAGACTTCTTACTCTACTCTGAAAGCATCCAGATTCCCCTGCATATGCTTTAGATGACCGCAGAGTGGGATGAGTCTATGCAAAGGTTGACTGAAAGCACACAGTTAAGAATTAAAAAAAAAAAAACCTATTTAAAATTTGAATGACTTGAGGCCAGCCTGGTGGCATAGTGGTTAAGTTTGCATGCTCCACTTGGGTGGCCCAGGTTCGGGGTTTAGATCCCAGGCGCCGCCAACCTACACCACTCATCAAGCCATGCTGTGGCGGTGTACATACAAAATAGAGGAAGATGGGCACAGATGTTAGCTCAGGGAGAATCTTCCTCACCAAAAAAAAAAAAAAAATGAATGACTTGATTTTTGTGGGATAGTTTGCTGCGTTACTAAAAAAGCATGACATAATTTGCCTCAGTAGTCTCTATATCCTCTCCTTTACAACCTGCAATCCTGTCCACTCTCAACTCAGCTGCCCAGCATAGGTGCCCAGCAGAAGCACGCTGTTGACGCCCTCCTGGAATGTGTTTGACGTTAGGACTTACTGCAGCCGGCATACAGGAATGCACTAGTGGATGATGTAGCATGATGTGTGATCTCTGACATTCCTTATAATTCTTCTGTTCTCATCTCCTTTTTTTCCTTTCTATTTCAATTACTTTGAGCAGCATCAAGAAAAAATTACCAATCCACCAAAATGAGTAAGTCCCCCTGTGAAGCCATGAAATGCTTGCTCTACATGGTGCCATTTCATGCTTCTGCATCCTAAACTCTGGCCATTTTCTCCTCCGGGAAAAATGTCAAGTTTAGGTGTCGATAGCTCTCATTACTGACTAATCACTAGAACTTGAATTGGAAAAGCTAACCAAACCTGAGTTTACAGTTTGTTTATAGAAAGAGCTTTAAAAAAAAAGTGACAAGATGCTAACAACCTAACAACCCCACATTGCAAGGCCCGTGTACATGCACTGATTTTCATTTTTGTTTACCCTCCTTTCACTTGCCCCTCACTCAAGTCTCTCCTGGCACCCTTTCCTCTTCTGACTCGGCTGCCCTCTGCCAACAGACTGGCCCACCCTGAAGGAAGCCTTCCGGACCTTGCCATGATGAATCTGACCGCCAGCCTAGAGAAGCCAGAGATGAAGAAGGTGGCTGAGCCTGGTGAGGAGAAACTGGAGGTATGCCTTGAAAAAGCTGAGAAGGGTGAGCTTGGGAAAGACAGCGAGGAGGAAGAGGAGGAGGAAGAGGAAGAGGAGGAGGAAGAGACCTCAGGTAATCTGCTCACTACCAGAAAATACTGACTGACTGACTGAGTGAATGAAACACTGACTTGCTCCAAATGGATATATATTTGATCCAGTTTGTGAAATAAATATTGGGGTGTGTTTTATTTACTTCGGTTGCTAGAGTTATAACATTCCGATTCCAATAATTTCCTTTTACTTCTGACTTAGAAGAAGAGAGCAGATACTTGGTTATCAACTATGGATCCGCCAGTGGTGATCCTGGCGAGATACCAGAGGGGTGTGGCTCTTACCCTCTGCTCAGTCAGAAACCCGGGGGGGGGGGCGTGTCCTACCAGAGCAGGAACAAGCAGCTGTGTAGAATTTCTGAAAGTGCTAGGCATGGCCTTTTCCAAGACATCCTCGAAGAAATCATTCTGAGGCTTTTCCAGGAAACTGATCATTAAGAATACATTTCTAATTCTGTTCTAATGTTTTAGGACATGGGAACCAGAGGAGAAAATGAGCAATTGGAGAATGATCGTTTCTAACCAACTCCTAGAGATTTTTTGTTATCATTGTTATTTTAGGTTTTTTCCTCTTTATTCTTTAGGCTCTTCTTTCCTATTTTTATTCACAGACTTGAAATAATGTCTTAATAGAGCCTGATGAGAATTGGATGGCCTCGGTGATCAGGACCCATTATCTGACAGAGTATAAAGGGTGGAGAGCTTGGTCTGTTCAGCAGTTCCCAGAAGGTGGGGGAGGAACCAGAGAGCATGCCTCTGGGGGTGATGCTCTGGGGCTGTGATAGTGAGATGCTGAGCTCGTCTTTGCTGCTGCTCTGTGCTTTACAAAGTGGGCAACAAAAGGGCAGCATGAGGTGGAAGATCCCTCCCAAAGGCAAGCTCCCCAAAACCTGGTCCCCTTTGCCATCATCTCAGAAGACCTCAGGAGAGGCCCAGAAAAGCACTCGCCATATCTGAGCAACCCGGCTCCTCAGCGAGACGGGAGAACCAAGCTCTGGGGGACCGTGGACTCAGGATGAGGATTTTGTTATACTCCTTGAAGACAGGCTTTGAGCTTTACTGATAGGATCTCACGGAAAACTGGACTGCACCTTGTTCTCACACTCCCTCTGGCACCAGTCATGACCTAAATCTTGGTATCGACTATTATCTGAGTCATTTTGTAAATAAGCAGTTTTCACAGTAACTAAACCTTACTTAGACTTTCAGAACCAAGTACAGTGACTGTTCCAGCCACCCTGCCTTGTAAAGAAGCTGCTGAGGGACACTTGGGTCTTATCTGCCTGGGCTTATGGGCTTCTGTCTCCAGATGTGTGACGTGCTCATTCCACGAAACAGTCCTGTTGTGACTGTCATTCAGATTACCTGGGACGGTCCTTCTAGACAGAAGCATGACCCTAGTCTGCAAAATGTGACTCCCTACACAAGGGAGAAAGAAAAAATGACTAATTTGATTAAAAGTTATGATTAGAATGAGTCTGATCACAGTTCATGAATTGAGACAGGTCGTTGAGGCCCTCAGTGTTCACTTTCAGTTGTGACCAGGAGCCAGCTCTTCCTGCCTGGCTCACGCTTCCAGGGCGAGTGCCAAGCTTGATCCGTCACCTAGTTAAGCCTCAGGAAGGAGACTGACACTTCTGCAAGCACTGTTTTAGCAAGAAAGATGCCATTTGGAGGGAGCTCAGTTACTTAATATTCTCAGGAAATTAGGTCAGTATAGCTCAGCCTTAAGAGAATTTAATGAAAAGGTGGATAAAAGTAGCCTTGTTCCCCAGTCTCAGTGTATGATTTCTAAGTCATCGTCATGACATGGGATGCTTCCACCACCCTTCCTCCAGATGATGGTATCCTTAGAATTCATCCACTACTATTATTTTGCAGCATCTCATTCCAATCTGAATGTTACAAGATATGCTTTAAATAATAATGAAAAAAAAACATTTTTATGCTTTTTGGGGAATTTCCTATTTTGCAGATTTAAGGAACAAATGGCATCTGGTGATTGACCGCCTTACTGTGCTCTTCTTAAAATTCCTGGAATATTTTCACAAGCTGCAGGTGTTCATGTGGTGGATTTTGGAATTGCATATCATCAAAATTGTTTCATCGTACATTATCTGGGTTTCTGTGAAAGAGGCAAGTGCACATTTGTTGTATTGTTAGGCCAAACAGAGCCATAGTAGGTCATCATTTTCCTTTTCCCACTGTCCATGGGTTTTTTTGAATGCAATTCCTATTACGTTAGAACGCCAAGGCTCTAGGATAGCACATACATTTGTAATACAGGAAACCAAAGGGCAGTTGTCCTGAGAGGAGGGAAGGGTAGTGGAGAAGGAGGTCCTGCTCAGTCTCTGACTGGCTTGGTCATGTTGCAAAGGTTACTTCATTTCATCCAGCCGTTAGTTGAAGTGTGTGAGAACAGGCCATCTTTCTGACTGCACGTAGGAATCTGTCTCCGTAAATTCTCTTGAGGAAAACAGTAACAGTCCAGTTTATGTTCCCAAGGAAACTCAGGTTCCAAAATTTAATAAACTCTTTAGTAGAGCTCACCTTGTTTATTACTGAATTTTTTGAGACAAGACACACAGTCTTTCACCATTGTAATTGCACTTCTGTTTTTTCATCTGGAAAGAGGAGAGTCATCATTCAGCCAATAATTATTTGATGTTTACTGTGGAGAGATTAGCTTTCTTTCAATTTATTCAACAAATAATTTTCACATACTTCTAACGTCCCTGGACTATTTTTGAGTTGGTGACAATTCAGTCTTTGCCCTCTAAAAATTAAGTCAGGGAACTACTGCCCATAATTTTTAAAGAGTTAAATAATAATATAATATTACAACTATAATACTGTAAACCTAAAATGTTTCACAAGTAGGTAGCTAAGGGATGAACCTTAATTTGAATTCTCCAGTCTAAACTAGAACTTTCTCCCATTTCATACAAACCATCTGAAATGGATGGATGATTATTGCCTGGTGGGAACAAAGCAGAAACCACTCTCCCTGTGAGATTTGTGGCAGAAAATGACGTTTGCTCCATTGTTAAGGAACCAATTAATTGCATTAATTAGAACTGCAATCTAGCCTAATATGTACATTAGTTGAGAACAAAAGAGCTTACACATTTTAACTGTATAGGTAAATTGACCACTTCAGACAGAATCTGAGGGTCAGAATATTAAGAGCAATGAAAAAGAACAAGAGAAGGCATTTGGGTAAAAATGAGCAAAGGCCATTTGTGAATTAACCAAGTCTGATGTCCAGATGACTTCTGATGGCGTGAAGGTTGTGTTGCAGAGTTGTGAAGGCATATGACAGTTTAATGATGGGAGTGGGCGTTAAATGAAGAGAAATGAGTGCTAGTAGGGCACGGAAAGTCCACTTTCGGCAGTCCATCCCAGAGTTCAGAAAGACAGAGAGAGAGAGGGTTAAGTGACACCACTCTCTACAAATCCTAAGCAAAAGGCAGACGTATTTTTTTTAAATCATGCTTAATGAGCCTCAAGAATGTCTTGTTAATAGACTATCAAGTCAGTGAAGGATTGTGATCTGTTCATCCCATTACACCATTAGAAAAATGGCCTTCGATGGCATATGAGCAATTCCCTCTCTGTGATTCACACATTGTGCAAACTTTCAGAATTTTCATTCCTAATTCCAACTCTCTCCCCTATAACTTTAAAATGCATGTCAGAGACTCATGAATCAGAGAAATTCTGCTCCTGCCGCTACTAGCATCTGCCAGAATCCGATTGTTGTAAGATGGTTTCACCCCCAAGTGTATCCCCTAAAGTTTCATACGATGTCTTCCCACCCACAGGAGAAGTTTCCTCACCCAAGGGTGAGTTACTGCAGGATCCTCAGATCCCATCACCACCAAGGTCTCTCCCCTCTCTGCACTGACTTTGGACTCTGGGCCCCAGTCAACATGTTCACAGCTGATTCTTATTAATGTCCCTGGAGCACTGAGTGATCAGAACATGTGGGGCATAATTATAAAAATAACTTTATTTCAGGCCTCTACTGTCCTTTTAAAATGTATTCTATAGGGAAACTTTTCTCCATGCTCCTGAATGCAAAACACTTTCTGATTATTCCTAGAAAATGGAAAGTCCTCTGCTTACCTTAAACAGCAAGCAAAATCTTACTTCGTTAATTAAAATTGTCCGGCCACAGAAAAGAATCAAAACTCTGCTCTCTTACCCACGTGGAAGCATCTCCTCTTATGGCTGCTTCTTTCTTTCTCCCACTTACATCCCTTCCCTGCCTCCCCTGCTCCAGTGAACTAACTTCTGTTACAGGCCTCTGGGCAGATGGGCAAGGTGGGGATGGGGGGTATTCTGATTTGACTTGTGCTATCATAGGCTGGCCTCACCTTCTGGGTTGGCAGCCAATTAAACCTACCCTTTCTCTCATGGAGGCTCCTTTTTGGGGTCCCCCAACAACAGCTCTGGGGCTGTGACCCATTGCCCAGCCCCTGGTTTCCCAGCATCCACTCCTTCTGGACCCTTTCTGTAGGAGGCCCATCACCCTGGCAGGCAATCCCCTTGAGCGGCACTCAGAGCAGCGCCCAAAGCTCTCTCTTTCCCACAGCAGGTCCAAAGGCAGCATTCACACAGTCTCTGCCCTGCTCGAGCTCCTGGATACCAATGAAGCCACCCCCTGTGCTCTGCTGCCACAGCGGCCTCTCTGTCCTTGCCAGCTGGGTTTTCTGGGTAGAAGTTGTACATCAGCGCACAAACTCTGTGCCCACACTCCAAGGTACACACACTAAGATCTCTGAGTGGTCCTGCTTGAAGCTCCTCACTCGGGACTTTGGGTAGAGAATGTCACATCCCTTCCTCCCCACCCCATCGTCTTGAGGTGGGGACAGACAGAAACCCCTCTCTACCAAGAAATCTCTTCACACTCCCTCCTGTCATCCTCACTATCTTGACCCATTTATATCCTCCTGGAAGGCTTTAAATATCCCAAAATGTTTTCAGATTAACTGTTTTGAAATTTCTACCTGGTTGGCTAGCACCTCATTGTGGAATGTTACGTCTCCATCTCTTCTAACCAAGTGCTTCATGACACTTCTCTTGTCATGAACACCTTTCTCCACTGAGTACAAGAGGGGAGGAGAAACAAGCACTGGCTCTTGTATATGTTCCTGTCAGGAGCCACATGCCAATCCAGAGTGTAATGTGAATTTGATCTGATTGCAGTAAAGGAGAGCGTGCAGCCATTTGCATCAGGGCGGCTGTGTTGCGCAGTTCCAGGGGCATTGTTCACCTGTGACCAGAGCCCCCAGGTTGTTCCCCTCTGAGGTCTAATTTATACCTGCAGGGCCTCTTCTGCTTTGAAGGCTTGACTCATCCCCAACTGGAGAAGCCCATCAGCAATGGCAGTTGCTACATGTATTTCCCATTCATAGCTTTTTAATTTTGATTAATGCAAGAAATATCCTTTCTCAAAAATTGTGGATCAGTAAATGACAAAATGAGAACAAAGCAACATCCGCAGTTAAATCTTCAAGAGGTGTGGCCACAAGCTTTAGATTCAGACCATCCCTTTCCAAGGCCCTCAGCAAGGGTGCTTGTTTTCACAAACTTTCAGGGCCATTTCTCCCACAAATAATAAACCTTTCCAAGGTTATCATCATGGGCATCTGAGGAAGAAGAGGCCACTGGGAAAGAATTTGTTACAGAAACCTTTCTCTTACTTCGGCATGTCTTACTCAGAGCGACACCACTTTGGAATGACCTAGATTTAAAAGTATGTATGGGGCCGGCCCAGTGGAGTAGCGATTAGGTATGTGCACTCCACTTCGGCGGCCTGGGGTTCGCATGTTCAGACCCCAGGCGCAGACCAACACACTGCTTGTCAGGCCATGCTGTGGCGCCATCCCGTATAAAGTAGAGGAAGGTGGGCACGGATGTTAGCCCAGGGCCAATCTTCCTCAGCAAAAAGAGGAGGATTGGCAACAGATGTTAGCTCAGGGCTGATCTTCCTCACAAAAAATAAATAAATAACTAAAATTTTAAAAATTAAAAATATATATAACGTTCGCCTCTTCTTCTTTTATACGCAACTATATTTCTAATTTCAGAAGGTTCCTAGATAGCTTTGTGAGATCAGGTTATTCCTTGAGGTAGGCGGCCATGCGTTATTTCGTTTAGTAGCCTCAGAAACTCCCAGAGGGCTGGCCAATTGTAGAAGCTCAATAAATGTTAACTGACTGAAGGAAGGAAGTAAATAAAAGAACTTTGCAAGCCTGAGATTTCTCCTAGAAATCAGTTGCTGTTTCATTAATATTTCTACTTTCACTCTCACTAAGCATTCATTTAGACTTTATCATGTACTTGCAATAAATTACAATTGACTAAACGCTTATACTGTGCCAGATGCTGGTGCGAAAGCGTGAAAGAGAGACTTCCTGTCTCAGTTCGCAGTCTGATGGTCTTGGCTGGTAAAGAAAACCAAAAGGCGCCTGAAGTGCTGGGCTCGAGGTGTCCCCGGGAGGCTCTGGGTTTACAGGCAGGGGCTCTCCTGCAGGTGGCTGCACCATACGGGTGATCATTGAGGCTGTGGGTGCTCTGAGGGAGGGAGGGAGGCCAGGGAGCCACAGTTCTCAGACAAAACGGTAGCTTCAAGTCTCCAAGTTTATGTCAGATAAAATGACAATTTATGTACAAGTGTTTTGTCAGGAAGGCTAAAAATTACTTCCCGAAATTCCTTGATAATAAGAATCACCTGGACACTTGTTCTATACGCGGATGACCAGTTATTTCCCTAGATATTCCGATGCATCAGGTATTGGTTGGGGCCCAGGTATTTGTCTCTTTTTTTAATGTACATTCCATGAGATTTCTATCATCAGCGAAATGACCTCATTAACCACGTTTGGACTGAACGAAGTATCACACTTCTCTGAGCCCCAGTCTTCCTATTTGTAGAATGATAAAAGGAAAAACACCCACCGCATGGAGGCTTTTCAGTCCTTATCTTACTTGATTCTCTCCGACATTGGATATCGGCCATCTGAGCGTTTGTGCCCAGATCAGCACACACTCCTGGTCCTTCTTTCCTTCTCATTCCTGTGCTGCTTCTCCTCCCGCCCCCTCCTCCTCAGGGCTCTTCAGTTCTATCCATAGCCCTCTTCTGATTCTTGCCCTCCATGGCTGATCTCATCCTCCCTTGCGGTTTAGTTGCCATCCACATGCCATGGGTCAGAAGTCTGTGTCTTCCGTCCAGTCCTCGCTTTGGGCTCCAGATCTGACAACTGAACATGACCTCACTTCTTGTATGTCCCCAAAGCACCTTTACCTAAATATCTCTAAAACAGAGCTCCCTCCTCTACTTCATTTCCTTTTAGATCACTCTATAACAGATTCCCAGCTCTGCTGGAATGAGAAAATCCTTTCTCCTTCCAATATGTATTCCATCATGCAGCCAGAATCATCTTTCCAGAGTGTAAATATGATCATTGTAATCCTCTACTCGAAAACTTTCAACAGCTCTCTCTCATCCTCACAATCACGTGATATAAGACCCTCATCATCTGGCCTTGGACCACTTCGCCATTTCCATTTCCAGATGCCCTCACCACCTGGTGGATTTTGGAGTCCTCCAGATGGACTCAGATCACAGTGCTTTCATGTTGAATCTCAGCTGGCCAAGGATGTCCACCCCGTGCTCTCCCTTGCCTGTAAGGCCTTAGACCTGCAATTCCTCTGCCTGGCTCACTCCCGTTGGCACTTCAGGTCCTCTGGGCAATCTTCCCTAGCCCTGGATTAGATGATCAGCTGCGTGCTCCCCGCAACTTGGCTCACCCCAGGTAGGCTGGGCTCCATCATATTGTCACGGCTCTTTATGCAGTTCTCACTGGCCCTACCCCGAGTGTTTCTTAAGGGCAGGGATCTACTTGGGATGTTACCTTGAACCTAGTTTGGACTTAATAAAAGCTATTATCTTTTCTTCTCTTTCTCTATCACTCAAAAAATTGAAAGTTCTGTGTAAGTTTATTGTACTGTTTTTATACTCAATGCCTTAAATACATAATAAAAGAAATAACAAAGGGACTTAATTTCAGAATATCTTTAATAGGATTTGCTTTTTAACATCCCAATTAGCGTGACACTTGCCAATGACTGAGGAGGAGGAGTCACCCAGCTAATCAAAATATTTTGTTAAAACGTAACATTTATATGTTTGTGAGTGCCTTATAGTTTACAGGGCACTTCCACATACAATATTTCTTTTATCCTTAATTAATTCCATAAGACAGCTCTTACTACCCTAATATTTCAGCACTTAATTCTCACAGAGGTTCCTTGTCTTGGACAGCGGCAAGCAATTAAGCAGAAGCGTAGATAGGTAACAAATTGCAGAATTAAATCTTGTCCTGGAGTCTCCATATTTTGTGTTTTATAGTTTTGTAGGCCAAACAGGTAACCATATCTCTTACAGCCCACGGTGCGTAGCACGTGGTACATGTTCAATTTTATCAGTTGGGTGCGTGCTCTTATTTTCACCTGATAATATTAAATATTCCTAGGATATTATTTTAACAATATTCAGATATTTAAAAATATTTAGAATAAATGAGCATTTTCTATGGCAGAATAAGATGGTAGTGCTTCTATACCGTTCAGTGAACTATTAGCTGCGGAGAACTGTTAGACATGAGCGGACGTCTCATTGGATTGATAAACACACACAGTCTAAACCTAGTTGAAGTCATTGCCTTCCCTCTTTGCACCTGCCCTGACTCCAGATCCTATCTCAGTAGTGGCACTGTCATCCTCTCAAGGCTCTGGCTCCCAAGCCAGAAACCTGGGAGGCATGCCCACTGTCTCCCTTATCAACCCCTACCTCCAAGCCAGTCACCAAATCCTGCTAATTTTACTTCCCATCTCCAACCCACGGCTCCCCCCATCTCTGCCCCACTGCCCTAGCTTGGGCCCCTGCAAGAGCGCCTGGGCTATTGCAGCGCCTGGGAGTTGGTCCCCTGACCTCTGGTCTAACCCCCATTGTTGCACCTCCATTCTTCAGTGACACTTATCTAAATAAAATACCAATCTTTCCTTAAGACTTCCCAGTGTAAAGCCCTTCAGTGGCTCTCGATTTTCTGCAGAAGGGGTTCATGGCCCATGGCGTGGTTTAAAAAGGGTGCATCACAATGTGGTGCATCTCCAGCCTCACATAGTGCCACAGTTCACTGCTACCAACTCCAGAATTTCGGGTTGTTGGGGATCACCTGTTCCCACCATGCTACCTCCTGCTTTTGCTCATACATCCTTTACCTGGAATGTACTTCTCACCTTTCTTGGCCTGGCTGACTTTATGCATCCTTCAAGGCTCAGCTCAGGCAACATCTCTTCCAGGAACTGCTTCCTGAATCTCCAGATTGGGCCAAGGACCCTTCTGGCTATTCTCCCAGGAGCCTGTTCACATCTCTAGTTTAGCCAATGCTACGTTATATTGACATCATCCGGTTATCTATCTGTCTGCCACAAAAGGCCTATCTTGGTACGCCGCACTAGGGCAATGCCTCACACATGCTAGGACCTCAACCAGCCTTTGCTGAACTGAGCGGAATTGAATAAATCAAGTTGCCACATTTTGTGGATGTTATGCTGTGTTATGCATTTTTGTCCCCATTTCTGATTTTATGTTTTCAGGTGTCTCTGTTCAACTATGTATTTTTGATTTCTTGGGCTTTTGCTCTGCCATACGCCAAGCTACGCCGTCTGGCTTCAAGTGTCTGCACTGTCTGGACGTGTGTGATCATCGTCTGCAAAATGTTGTACCAGCTGCAAACCATTAAGCCTGAGAACTTTTCTGTTAACTGTTCCTTGGTGAGCCTCAGATGGGGGAATCTTCTTGACTGGCCTTTAGTGAAGTGAGGCAGATACTGGGGATCCTACCTCCCCAAGCACATTCTGTCTGGCCTTTAAGTCACCTGAGTCTCTTCTTGAGCTGAGAGTCCCCCTCCCTATCCCCCCGTGCCCCTTTGCTCAAAGCTGAAGGAGAATAATCTGAACTCTCCTAACCCATGGATCCATTTTTTACTCCCTTTTCTCTTCTTTTCAGCCAAATGAAAACCAAACGAATGTCCCCCTCCAGCAGTTGAACAAGTCGCTGCTCTACAACGCTCCTATTGACCCGACAGAGTGGGTCGGCCTGAGGAAGTCCTCCCCTTTGCTGGTGTACCTGAGGGTAAAGGCTTTGTCGAGCTTAGTTTGTGCCTCTCCACGGTTCCTGTCTGCAGTCCTTTCCTTTGAGACCCCTGATATCACACTGGATAGGAACCTCACCTTCTTATGTAGCATTTGAAATCACCTTTGAAACAAATGACTAAATATTAAGATCAGTATCGCATTGTGCTGAAAAGAAATTGATCGAGTAGTTTGAGATTAATTGAATAAAGTACGACAAATATATTCACTGGCACATTATAGAACCATTAAAAGATTGAGGTAGATTGATAATGTCAGGCATTGAAAGATGCCCTAAATATATGGTTTAAAAAAAAAAACAGCAAATTTCAAAATACCATGCGTTGTATGATCGTTTTTAGACACAGAGAAAAAATATTAAGTAAAATATTCCAAATGGTCAGTAGTGATTATTTCTGAGAAGTAGGTGTAGCATTACAAGACATTTTTGCTATCTAAATTTTGTTTCTCTACAAATTTTAATAAAGGGCATATATTATGCTTAGAGGTAATCAAGTAAAGAGCATATCTTTGGAAAAAGAACTCTGCAAATAGTTGTAACAAACGTAATAAAAGCAATATACTTCAGATTTTCCACATTTTACTTTGATGGATAATCTGAGCAGTCTTAATAATATTATGCTGACACTACACCTAAAAATAAAACATTTATACTCAACATCAGGAATTTTAAAATGTACTAAGCATCTCATCTTTCTCTGTATAACTTTCTAGTTTTTTCTCATACGGCAGATATCTTTTGTAATGTACAAATAGTTTCTACCATAAAGAGCTGTTATAAGGATGAAACAAACTTATATTTGAAAAGGATGATTAGAATAGTGTCTGGCACATATGGTTCCATAAATGTTAACTATTTTATTATTATTATCCTCACTATTATTGTTATTATTTTATCGTCATCAGTATGCTTCTCAATCTACTGCTCTCTAGCCAGATTTTGGAGGTGTACAAAAATTTCCCCACTAACTCAGATCCCACTCCTCCAGCTTAGTCTGTTTCCCTGGGGGCCGTGTAGAAGTGTTTCATGCTTCTAGTTGCAAATAAGGCTGACCCACCCTCCCAAGGTAACGGGACACTGCTGCCTGGTACAGGAACAGTAAGGTGCATCACCAGTCTTTTGCCTAGAGATTCCAGATCCTATTATCATGGAAACGATCCTGACTTGCATAATGGAGATAACTCCACCCTTGTTACCTGAAAACAGAGAAAGTGAACATTGAATTCAAGGCTATATTTTATAGAGGTGGGATTTTATAAAGCTTTGTCCTTTTAGACATCAAGAATGGAATAAAATGATTTATTATGAGGATTGCTTAAAATTACCAGATCATAAAGCATTTGGCTTCACACAACTGTGTTTTCTTGCTTTGTAGAATAATCTCCTGATGCTGGCCATTCTGGCCTTTGAGGTTACAATTTACCGCCATCAGGAATACTACCGAGGTCGAAACAATCTCACGGCCCCTGTGTCTAAAACCATCTTTCATGACATCACAAGACTCCATCTGGATGATGGACTTATTAATTGTGCCAAATATTTCATAAATTACTTCTTCTACAAGTTTGGTCTAGAGGTAAGTTTCCTTGCTGATGTGTTTTCTTTCTCTCTTCTGTGAAAATTCCAATAGCAGCCTTGGGCAGACGGCCACTGGAGCTTCATTGCACATCTCCATGCCACGATTTCTGTCTCCTCAGGATCAGCGGGAGGAGATCCCTGAGGGGTTAACCTGGCCTGGCTGAAAATTTTCCGAGACAAATGCCATTGCCCCTGCTGTGCAGTAGTGGACTTGGTCCCCCTGCATCTCTGTGCTCTTACAGATGAATGGATATTACTTGTCATTTTAGCTGGTTTCTTATTAAGAATAAAATGTTATTAATCTTCTTTCTATTTTATGCATTCTGAAAGTGTAACCTTAGCCAAAATGGACTGTTTGGACATGAAATGGTGTGGTGGAGCCTGTCCCTTAACAGAATGTATTTGGAACAGTGATGTTTCATGAGGAGATCATAGCTGTAGTTCTCGTCACCATTTGGAGTGGTTCTTAGTAACAGTGAATAGTCATTTGTACAGTATTTCTGTCTTCGCAGTGAAAGACACCCAAAAGAGGCAAGCCTTGGTGAACATGTCCAGAGACCTACCCTCAGGGCTGACAGCTGACCCCACTCCCCTTCCCTGACACCCAATTTTTGTGCCTCTTTTCCTCCTTACACAGACCTGTTTCCTAATGTCAGTTAACGTCATTGGGCAGCGAATGGACTTCTATGCCATGATTCACGCCTGCTGGTTGATCGCTGTCTTGTATCGACGCAGAAGGAAAGCCATTGCAGAGATCTGGCCCAAGTACTGCTGCTTCCTGGCCTGCATCCTCACGTTCCAGTACCTCATCTGCATCGGCATCCCTCCGGCTCCTTGCAGAGGTGAGCGGGCCTTGCCAGGAGCCAGCTGCACTTACCGCCAGCCCCTCCGGAGTGGGTGGGTGAGCGAAGGGCAGTGGAGAGGTATTGATCTTTGTCTCCACCACTTCCCTCCCTGCAGATTACCCGTGGAGATTCAAGGGTGCCAGCTTCAACGACAACATCATTAAGTGGCTGTACTTCCCAGACTTCATTGTGCGGCCCAACCCAGTGTTCCTCATCTGTGAGTGCTGCAGCCCCAGGGCCACGGAGCGCTGCTGTTTGGTGTTGCATTTGCTAATTAGTCTTGTGTGTTATGCATTAGTGCCTTTGCTTCTTCACCGCACTTGCTAACCATGTGAAGGCTTATCTCAATGCATTAGTATCACAAGTCGTTAATGGCTTCTTCTTGCTCTATTATGTTTGCAAAATTAATAAATAAACATTGAAATACCATATTCACTTTCATAATTTCACCTCCCAACACACACGCCCACCCGCCACCCCCCCACCCCCCACAGTCTTCTAGAAGGTAGGCTGGACAGGCAGGCCTTGTATTTTGTGAAGCAGTTGTTTCTGGTTGCCACTACAGATAGACCAAATCTACGGAGAAGACTGTGTTGGCGAGGAAAATGCTGCCCGAATTACAGATGCTCTAGAGCTGGGCTGCAGCCCCCAGCCCTTCCGAGGGCAGGCTGATGATCCAAAGGTTGGAGCAGCCCCCCTAAGACGACAGGGAGTGCCAGGTGCTCTGAAAACCAAGGAGTGATTGTGCTGAACATTCAGGTTTAATTTAAAGAACAACGAAGCCACTTGGTGCTAGAGGCTGCCAGCCCAGCTGGTGGAGGGCCTGTTCTGGGCAGTCGGCCACGAGAACAGCTGCGCCAGACTTCTCCTCCACTCCCACAAATCGGCCCACCATCTTCGTCTGCCCTCAGCAAGCCTTCACTGTGGTTTCTGCTCTGGGAAGAGGCTTTGGTGGGGAAAGTGCTCAAATGGCCTCCTCAGAAATTTGGTGGGAGATAAATGCAGATAAACATGATCATATAAGCAAATCCTGGAGACTAGTAATTGCACCTGATACTTTCACTCACCACTGTGCAGATAGAATCCAGGGGCTCTCCCACTGGGAGCACCCGATGTCCGTGGTCCCTCCTGTGTCACCCATGGTGGGGAAGGTGGACTTGGCCCCAACATTGGAATCCAGGAAGAATTATACTATGAACTTAGGGAACACGACTCACCTAGGAGTTGGGGAGCAGCTGAGACCATGTTGGGACTCTTTCTCACATATGTAAACCCAGAAGATGAAGGTGGTTTAATTCTCTTATTTCTGTCTTGCCAGATGACTTCATGCTGCTTCTGTGTGCCTCCTTACAAAGGCAAATTTTTGAGGATGAAAATAAGGCTGCAGTGCGAATCATGGCAGGAGACAATGTTGAGATTTGCATGAACCTTGACGCCGCCTCCTTCAGCCAACATAACCCTGTTCCAGACTTCATTCACTGCAGGTAACAACAGCCGCATGGGTTTCAAAGCCATTTTGGTGTGTGCATTTCACTTACAGTATAGACCTCTACTTCCACTTTCTCTCTGCTATTGTTGGGAAATTGATCAGCTACTTGTATACATGAAGCTAATAAATGTAGACAGGTAAATCAGTACTCTAAGAGCTGAGACTCTGAATTATAGTTCTGCTTCTGTTTGTTTTAGCATTAACCAATTTTTTTTTTTTAGCCTCAGTTTTCCTCCTCTTCTTCATACACAAACTGACTTCTGCACATAATACTGCTTCCTGGCACTCCAGCAGAGATCCCTCACCTTTGCCCTCTGTCTCTCATCTTTATCTTCTGTCCCTCCTCCTCATCCCCTGTCCCTCCTCCTCATCCCCTGTCCCTCCCCTCATCCCCTGTCCCTCCCCTCATCCCCTATCCCTCCTCCTCATCTCCTGTCCCTCCTCCTCATCCCCTGTCCCTGCCCTCATCCCCTGTCCCT